TTTCTTTCTTTCTTTCTTTCTTTCTTTCTTTCTTTCTTTCTTTCTTTCTTTCTTTCTTTCTTTCTTTCTTTCTTTCTTTCTTTCTTTCTTTCTTTCTTTCTTTCTTTCTTTCTTTTCTTTCTTTCTTCTTTCTTTTCTTTTCTTTCTTTCTTTCTTTCTTTCTTTCTTTTTCGTTTTCTTTCTTTTCTTCCTTTCTTTCTTTCTTTCTTTCTTTCTTTCTTCACCCTTCTCCTCCACCCCTCTTTTTCTTCTTCTTCTTCTTCTTCTTCTTCTTCTTCTTCTTCTTCTTCTTCTTCTTCTTCTTCTTCTTCTTCTTCTTCTTCTTCTTCTTCTTCTTCTTCTTCTTCTTCTTCCTCTTTTTCTTCTCCTCCTCCTCCTCCTCCTCCTCCTCCTCCTCCTCCCCCTCCTCTTACTCCTACAGACGCACTCAAACCCCTTTTACAAATTTACAGTCATTTTTCTTTGAGGTACCCAATCTATGCTTTATTTTTTCTGTTACACGTTAGTTTTATATAAATGTACTAGAGTTGTCTACTCTCCTTATGGGCTTCACTAACGCACAGGTGGTGGCGAACACTTAGAACGTGACATACTAACCCAGGAGATAAAATCAGTAATAAATGATAAAGCCCATAATATATCACTAGGCTCTGACATAATAACAGACGAAGTCATTCAAGCATGCAGAGACAAAGTGTCAAAAGGGGGGGGGGGGGGGACTTCACCGCAGCGTGGCTTGAATAAACATTTCCGACCACTGGAGTAAGTTTACCCTTATGGGAGCAGAAATGTAGTCAACGAAACAGCCACAAAGGCAAGGGCATGAAGAAGGACAATCTGTAAAAGTATTGGAGCACGAATGAGACCAGGAATATAAAAATACCGTACTTTAGTGGGTGTCAACTGGGGTTCAAGGAGCCGGGGTGTTGCCGGACTTTCGAAGGTCACGAGTTGCCAGTGCATCACCAATATCATCATCATGAAGTGTCTTGCCGATTGGCGTGGGTGATCTTGCCTCTCCACAATATGCGATTCGCAACTGACTGCGTGAATCAGTTCGTGTGTTGAAACCCCTCCATGCCATGACAAAAGACTGTCAAAAATCTTCTCGCGCTGTCGTCCTCTGTCTCTCTTTTCACAAATCTTTCCTGTGGTCACAACATGTTCCATTTTCCCTCTTCTCAGAACATGATTGAAAAACACACAAGTGTATACAACTAAAAATAAAGACATTAGGAGAAAACTAGGACTGAACCCAGTTATACAGTTTATTAAAGAGCAACAGTTAAGATGGTTTGAAGAAAATACCCTGGAGCCAGCGGCCACAGGAGTCCCCGTGACAGAGCGGCTAGACGTTCACCGCGGATTAGAAGGTCGCGTGTTCGCTCCTTGGAGGAGCCGGACTTTTTTCAAAAATGACCTTGATTCCAAAGTCGACCCAGCCTTGAGTGGGTACCGGGTGCAGTCCCGGGAAGTAGAGGCGGTCGGCGTGATGCTGACCACCTCACCCATCTTGTGCCGATTGGTCTATCAAAATATTGCCCTATTTGCACTATACGCCTAAAGGAGCGGAAAAGGACCAAATTACTTTACTTTACTTACGGTCACGCTGAAGAAATACAATGGATGGATCAAGGGGGAGCCAATACAGAAAATGGATAGATGACATCAAGAACAAAGATAAGGAAATGAATACCAACTTATACGACGAACTGGAACGAACCAACACAAGACCGTCAACACATCGATGAAGTAAACTGGAGAGGAGAAGCAGAAAAAGGTTTCTTACAATAACAGCCCACAGCAAGAGCTCAAAGTAATCCTCCCAAATCACTGGACTTCTAAAGAACAAACAACCGAAACTGAGTTTCACAAAGAAGCCCCGCTGTTTATCTTTGCATAGATCTCATGTTGATGTTTCTCTGTGTATGTCATAAAATGTTGAATAATGTATGCCTAATGATAATGATCAGTGCACGCGAGGGGTGTTAAGTACATTTGTGCACTGGGGGGGGGGGGGGGGGTGTCCTCGTTACGTGTACATAAAATTAAAAAAAACTTTGTAACATCCTGCACAAAGTTCATATTAGTGGGTACCTGAATGGCTTAACCCCCAACCTATCAGATCCATCGCTTCACAAATGTTCTGTTTAAAAAAAAAAAAAAAAAGGGGGGGGGGGGGGAAGGTTACTCGAGGAGTCTAAGCTTTGTTCAATCTAATAATAATATACCTTGCTGAATATGAATAAATATAAATGTTTGCAATAATGTTAAACATATCATCAAATACCCAAACAGAGAAATTTCAAGGGTTGTGCGTCTGTGTGTGTTTGCTGCAATGTGCCCCAACCTCTAAATATTGCTCGTTGAGGAGGGGTGGGGGGGGGGGGGGGGGAAAACTTCAATGTCGACTGAGGCCTCAGGTTCAGGCGCCCCTAAACTCAACCAGAGCACACAATTTCGCATGTTGCTGACAAAACAAAAATGTTTACAAAGTTTTTTGTCCAAATCTGTCCCTGCCGCAGGGTGAAGTGAACGATACAAAGGGGCTTGTGTCTTATCTGCCATATGATAATGTAAAACAGGTCGTGTCAGTTTAGGACATTGATAAAGAAAAAGGTAAAGGACCCTTTCCACGCCTTTAAGCGTATAGGGCATATAGGGCTAGACCTATATTTTTATAGACCAACGGCACAAGATGGATGATGTGGTCAGCATCACGCCGGCCGCCTCTACTTCCCGGGATTGCACCCGGTACCCACTCAAGGCTGGGTCGACCTGGGAGCCAAGGTCATTTTTAGGACATTGATGATCGGGTTTAATTGTCCTCCTTTAACCCTCCTGAAACACCACGTTTACTCACTTTTTTTTTAAACTTGGCTTTTATATGCCTGAGACACCTGCTTTGTTATTTTAATCTTCTCTTGGCGCCGGCGTCTGTGGCTTATGCGTTGCGAACGTGCCTCGCAATTCCATAGTACCCGGTTCGATTTCATCTGCGTGCAGTTTGGCGGCAGAGCCTCCTCGTGTTGATTTCGACAAGGGGTATCATGTGCCGATTAGGGATAGATGGTGGAGAGGGGGGGGGGGGTGGTGGTCTACGCTCCATATGAGTAGAAAGCATTTGTAAGTCGCAGTTAACCTTCATCATCTGGATCTACTGGGTACGCAGGAGTAAACAGTTACAGTTAACATTTTAAAATGTTTATAACGTTAACTTTAATGGTTAACACTTGGTGCCAATTGGAACGCTTCGCTTGCTGCTGAAGATGGGGACGAAGCGCTTATGGGAGTGTCCAGAGTGATGTGATGTCGATTCTTAATTCAACATTCAAACGGTTAACAAAAGAGCTGACCGGCTGGCAAGTAATAAACCAATGCAAACAGAAAGAAGCATGGACAGAGATGATATCATTAACACTGTACTGACTAGGTTGGGGAATAACGCTGAATCTCTGGCCTTAACATGATTACGTAACCTTGGAGTTAAGCTTGGTGAAGCACGACTATGCTGTCTTCGAGGTCAAGACAGGTGATACTATAACCAACTTCTCATGGGAGCAATCAGTCGAGGTACCTTGGAGTGGCTGCTGCATCGGAGGACTAAGCACTCATGGGAATGCCCAGTTTGCAAATCGTTGACTGTGATAACATAGCGTAACATGAGCCGATGATTCAAAAGCAGTGGCAAACTACTCAACGTAAAATTGTCTAATAAAATTGAAAACATGCCTTCCCCACCCCACCCCTCCCCCTCCCCCTCCCCCAAATGATGTAGTTGGTTCTGCAATGTCAAGTAACAGATTATCAACTTACTACTAACCTTTCCATAGCCGTTTTAGTTGTGTTATCTTTCTCATATCGAATATCGTCCCAGGCAGGCATACAATTGTTTATTATCACTAAACCCCCCGGCGCGCTTGCTTAGTTGGTTAAACCAGCTGCGCGGCGACAGGGTGACAAACCCCTTATGGTCCGAGTTCACGCTCCCGTGGTTAGACAGAAAAGCCACCTATTTCCCAGATTTACGGTATCTATCATGGAATCAAGACCGAAGGGTTGCGATATCCATAGTACAGATCCAAAGTGTTTACAACTCATGGCTTCTGGATTTAAAAAAAAAAAAGCCAAACCAATATACGATAGCATGTTACTCAGTAGTCATAAAGAACCCCTCCCCCACCTCCAATCCTTTCCCCTACTTTATAACTGTTTATAACTGAGCTAATCTAAGAAAACTGTAACGCATACAGGACTTTTAAATGTATGGATGATGAAAACATTTTGTCAGTTCATTTTTAGTGAGAAAAATAATATTACATAATTCTTCTTCTTCTTTCATTCGCTTGAAATAGATTATCTATATCTGCAGTGTTGTCTCTAGTACGAACTTCACTGTCATTTGTAATTCCCTCAGTGAATCATAAAGTTTGACTTGAACGGATGTTTCTCTTGGTCAAAAGAGACTGCATGCAGTCGTGGGACATAGGCGGCACTTTCTTGTGGGACGTAGGTGGTTTGGGGTTAGGTCCAGTTCTACACAAAGCCGGGAAACCCGGTCTTACCACCCTATAAAATATTGGACTGTCCCCGTGACGTCATCTGGGGGGTGACTTATTACGAAAGAACCAAAATCACATTTGTGAAACAAACACAAAAATAGGAATTTGCTGGGGCCCTAACAGATTGTGAGGCCCCAAGCTGCAACTTAGTTAGCGCATGCCTTAATCCAGCACTGGCCTTAATCCAGCACTGGGTATGGGTGTCTGCGATTTGCTACTGTTTGGTTCCCAGTAGGGAGTTATTATTTGTAGTTCCTGGTCAGTGCTAATTTTTTAACACTGTTGATTTTTCAGTCCCTTTGAATTAGTGCTAACCAGGTTTACAATACTACGTTAACTTGATATGTCCTTGTTACCGCAAGACAGGCAATCAAGATTGCTCAGAGTTGCTTATTAATTTAAACACAAAATTAACATTGTTTATTTTTTGCAAAACAGATGATGTTTTATGTGGGAACGAAGCTATTTTATACCTGCCTTCTTCTGAGCATTATAACCCAAGTCAGTGGATTCCCTGATGGCACAGGTATCCTGCAGTCTTGCTCATCTCTGGTACCATCCCATGGAGCCCCGTCACAAAGTACACCATCGCCATATAAGATAACTTTCAGTTCTGAGCCTTACAGGCCTGGCAGTCCTGTGTCTGGTAAGTTGCATTTATTTGTTTGTTAGGGAGAGATGGGTTGGAGGTGTGTGTGTGTGTGTGTGTGGGGGGGGTGTGGAAGAGATAATTAACAAATGAAAGAACTTTATTTACCTAGTGTTCAGATGTGAACACATATATGGTTAAATAACAAGACTGACAGATGGATAGATAGATTGTTCAGCTGCGCCAAGACGCACCAAGATGGTGGATGTTGCTTTCAACAATGGACTTTGCTAACTAAGTATAGTTCATTTCAGGACTTCAACTCTGCAGATGTCAGTACGTGATCAGATACAAAGACAACCTATAGCAATCAAGTAAGGTGTAGAGAAGACAGTTTTCCAGAATGCTCAGTCAGTTTGAAGGCCAACTACTAGGCTGCACTATTTTGTCAAAATATCAGATTGCTGCACAAAAACATAAAGGAACATGTTGAAGCAAAGAAAATCTACTAGGCATTGAGCCTCACATAAAGTAGATGACCTAAAGACAGGAAACCAAACCACCACTGCCACCAACATGAGAGGGACCAGGTCTGCAGCAATGAATGATACTGTCAATAAAAGAGAGAAGAAGAAGCAATCTAACATACCAACTGCAGCAGATGAACAGATCAAGGCGCTAGTAATAGAATGTAGTCAAGCAAAGCACATCAGACAAGTGGAAGTCACTACAGTGGAACCAAACAACCAGCCAGATTCCCAAAGTCAGCATCCTGATGCAGATGACAACACTGCGAGTCCAGCAGCTGATGACACTGCATTACCGGCGGCCTTTATGGTCCGACAGAGCAACGTGGGATAAGCATTAATTACTGTCCTAGCTATGCTAGATTATGGAAAACTTCCTGGGGAAGCTATCTGTAGCCAAGTTAAGGAAAACCAAAGATGGAGTGATCGCCACACTCAACAAGACTGTGAAAACAGCATAAAGGACAGCAACAAGAAAGGATTACAGCTGCCACATGAGATGGTGGTGATCACAGTGTCCGACGATGGGTTGTCAAACGCATCAAGCTGCAGTCAGCTTACCAGGAAATACAAGATCAGCTGAGCTGAGGAACATCAATCCAGTACTAAAAATCATCAAGGTTAAACGTCTCGGTTCAAGTCACAACCTAACAACAGTGGCTGCGAGGTGATGAAATACCAGACCATGCACAAACGTCAACCCACAAACGTGTACACATATTAGGACTCAAATTCATATATATGTTTATAGATTACTTTGACTGTGAAAGGTATCCTTGTATTATTTTCTGTCATATTGTGTCTCTCTAATGTATTTTGCCCATATGTCCTGTTGTCTGGTCTGAGTTGGTTCCATCTGATTACTAATCCTTACCTCTCTTGAGGGTATCCCGCAAGAGACCCAGCTGACTGGATCCACTGCTTCACCACTCCTCACACCTTTTGTTTTTAGAATTTGAATTATTCAAGTTGTCTCAGTACTGAAAGTAAAAATCATTTCGCTGTTGATCATAGGGATCTTATAGATGTCTTCATGAAATAGAATGTAGATTAGACAAAACAAGTGATGAGGATGGAATGGTTGGTAAGGTGTACTTATGATCGTAGATGTTCTGTCTGATTTATGAGTTCTCTGGTTGTATTAATTATTTAAAGTGGGAATGTGATAATCCTGAATGAGGGAGATGAAAGCCTGAAAAGGGGAGAAAGCTGTAGGAGGTGTTGGAGTGTACGAGTAACAGATTCCCCATACTAATAAACTCTTATACTCAGAGAAGATTGTTGCAAGAGGAGAGGAAGGGGTGGAGTGAGAGAAACCCTTTGTGAAAGTATCAAGCAGTAATATTTCTTCAGAAATTTAGTATTCATAAAGAGTAGGATGTGATGACTGCTGTCCTTTCCCATTTATAAGCTTCTACAACCACCGACAACAAAATATTAACAGTGAAGGATCCTTACTTGTGTTACTGGGCTCATGCACTGAGCCGAAATTCTCAAAATATTAAATGAAGAAATAGATCAGAACCCTGCTAGCACTTATTTCACAATGCAGACTCATTTAAAAGAATCATTAGCACCATCAATGTTCAATCTTTTCACTGGCTGCTTGAGATGAAGACTAACCACTTATGGAAATGTCGCGAGCACTGTGCTGTCAGTTCTAAGCGCAAGTTTTTTACTTGTAAATTTGTTCAATTGATGTGGTAAATTGCACAATGAAAAGTGATTGTAATTTTTATTTCAGTTACAATTAGTACGTGCACAGGACCTGGGTTTAAAGGGTTCCTGATTCAGGCCAGACGTGCAGACAGAAGCCAAAATCAGCAGGAGTATCTAGGAAGTTTTGGCAACAGTTCAAACACACGACAGACATGTAATGGGGTGAGTGTTAATTAGGCCTATGGATATTCTATTTCAAGGAGATACTTTTCCCCAGATGAAAAGTAAGTTTCAGTTAAAGAGTAAATAGCACACAAACAAAATAGCACAAGCTTAAAAAATTTGTAATAATTAATGAGCACAAGTGGCATTTTATGAATGTTTGTCGTGGACTCTTAATCAGTCATTAAAGAAAAAATCAAACCTAATTGAGTTGAAAGGCTACAGAAAAGTTCTGACCTCCTACATAATTTATGCAAAATGAATAAGTTAATAGATGGCAAGCATTTTAGCCACGTTAATGTTGGGGTGTCCAGGGTGAGAACCGCAATGGAGAGTGCAGTTTCCAGAAATAAAGACAGAGGCTGACCTCTGCAAATGTGACTAAAAGACATTAAAGATGCATTAGCTATGAAAGCACATAGAGCTAGAGAATTGGCTAGAGAAAGAGAGACTTTCAGGTGTGGCATGACGAGAGCGACTTACTCTGACTTCTCCTGGTATTCGATATAGTCAAGATCAACTAGGGAGCCAAATCAATATTAACCCTACCAGACCTGAGGCCCTGAACCTAACTGTCCCTATAACCTGAGCTCCTGGGCATTACCACACAAAAACCAACATGATATACAAAAATATTAGTTACATGCAAACAAGTGGCTAGAATATGTTGAAACTTGGAGACATTGTAGAAAATAGGCTCACCTTTTATCTAGCGCCAATATTCCACCTTTGTGTGCAAATTCACTCATCAGGATCAACTTTGTTTTACAAAGTGAACACCAGATGTTGCCGTTTGATGGACACACCCCCTTTTCCTACTATCAGTCTATTTGAAGATTTATAATTTTCATGATTTTCCTCATCATTTGCGCTCTCACTGACAGTGTCACTTCAAGAACGTATTCTTTATGAAATTATCACAGATAATGAATATATATACATCACAGAGTCTGAAAAATCAAAGTATCGATCACCTGTTGGACTGTGAAAAGCCTAGAACTTGGTTCATCAGCCGCTCATTTCATTGTGAATTTTCAGAATTTTTCCACGAAAACAACACAAATATAATCCAAACACATGCGGGCAGACATTTGCAATGTCTAACAAAGAGGATTGATAATGATTGGGTGGTTATTTTTAGTCCACGTCGCATCGTTTTCCCATACTACGCAAAAAGCCGAAAATGAGGGCCAGCGGTATAGAGACAGGTTAAGAAATTCCAGGTGAACCGGGCCAGTGGTCTGGTAGGGTTAAAGATCTACCTGGATATGGTATGAACAGACTGGCAGGCAAGTGTTCTAGCTGCATTACTTCTGTGGCTTCATCTGGGATCATCTGGGTAAATATTCAGCATTACAGCATTTGGAACAAGCCCATATTATCTATCCCCGTCTCCCTCTTCAACAGCCAGAGAAGAGTTTCCATTCTCCTTGTACCTCCTACTCAACTTGCCTTTCCCATGAGTCTCAAATGGTGCCCAGGGCTCACAGACACTCCCCGCTGCATCCTTATCTCCAGTTACATGTTTTCAGTATCTACCATTTTACTTGTTACCTCATCCCACAGGTGAGAAATCAATTTTGCCTTGTGCAGTTGCCATACACACCCAAATGGACTTGACACCACCCTCCTGAGCATGCTTTGCGAATCTCATACTATTGTGCTTGAAATTGTCTCTGCTTATCAGAGCACTGCAGTTACCACCTCAACCTCCATTCTCATGCTTGTGGTAAAAGCTCTCATCAGTCATCATTGTCCCCCAACCTTCTCTGTTCTCACCCCCCCCCCCCCCCAGTAAATTAACAATAAAATAATGTATCCTTTATAAGCTCTATAATATAGTCTGAGTATGACTATAGTTGAATTAATTCTTTGGGAAAACTTGATCTGAATTTGGTTGGTATATTGAGGTGTCATGTTTTAACTCTTTCAGTCTTTTCAGTCTATAAAGGGTCAGTTTTCACTTCAGAAGGACGAATTGACAGAGAAATCAATCTACAAATAATGAGCAAAAAGCAAATTGGGTACTAGGACAACTAATACCTCTTAGCACATTGAAGGATATCTATCTATGTCTACTAAGACAAATATAAGAATAATAATTTGTTAGTCAACTTTATGCAGCCAGTTTCAAACATGGATCTTTACTACAACTAAAGAGCACAACATCAAAATAGAGACGAGACGTCCTAGAAGAGCTGCAGGAGTAACAAGAAGAGATAATACAAAAATGAAGAATTCTGAAGAAGACCAGAGATGGTTTGGTCATCTCATGAGAATGCCCTTGTACAATCTGCCACAGGGTACCGGTTTGGTCTGAATCTTCTTCTCTTTATGATGTTAATGATAGCTAATGTCTACATTCCAAGTTTAGTTTATGTACTGCTAAAACAAGCATTGCTTCTGAAGTCCCTAGTAATTATTTTCCTTCGGCTCATGCAGGTGTGTTGAATATTGAATGTTAAATTAAGTATTGACATCCTATTAATTGAGACACCCCCAAAAGTATTCAGTCTCCATCATTAGCAGCAAGTGAAGAGTTAAAATTCTGATGGTACCAATAACTGTCTGATTGTATATCCATCTTGCATTTCCCCTGAATGTCGAGTGTCCTCCAGATCCCCCTGTAACTCCTCGCAGTGCCATTCTCCTCAGACCATATTGATCTAAATGTTCCTCAGCACTGTTCACTAGCTCCCAATGGGTCCTCACAACATTCAGCTTGTCATATATCAGTTCACCACCAAGTGGTGCAAAACTGGCGTCTATCTGCCTGCTCATTTCCTAGAACACCGGCGTAACCTGGAGAAAATATCCAAAGGATGCTAACTACCCGGCAAGTGATGCTTGCATGAAGGTGTGTTAGGAAATAAATAGAAGGACAGAATGGCTAGTGCTGCACAAGTGATGATGACTTGATGCATGACAAGCTAGATGTGGTTAAGATCCTTTAGGAAAAAGCGAACAATGCTGAAGTGTAAATAGATCATTACCGTGTAGAGAGAATGGTGTGACAGGGAGTGACTAGGGGACCTGGCCAACACTCTGCATTCACAGGAATGACAAGACAGACATAGAATCAAACTTCTATCGGTACCAACAGAACTGGAACTTTTCATCAGCTGCTGAAGATGGGGAAGGAGCATCTGTGGGAATGTCCTAAATGCTGTGATGTCAGTTCTTGACTCATTTCAACAGTTAATTTGTGTCACTGTATATATTTCAGAATCGAGCGCTGGCACACACAGAGAACAGTGCCAAACTCGCTCTTACATTTCCCTGGCATCCACCTTCTCCACCACAAGGACATATTGTTTTCAGGTGAGAGAGACAAATTAACATTTTCAGAGTTAAAAGGGAAAAAAAAAGATTTAATTATGCCAGATTTTCAGGATTCTTATTTTCCACCTTCTCCATCACAAAGACATATTGTTTTCAGGGGAGAGATACAAATTATCATTTTCTTGGTTAAAAGGGGAAAGAAAGAAAAAAAGATTTGATTAGGCCAGTTTTTCAGGGTTCTTGATTCTGGGCAATTTAAATTAATTTTTTTAGAAAAAGAGCAGATTATTGATAACAAGGGACTGTACAAAAAAGTAATGACTCCCGGTTTTTTCTTTTTTTTTCTTTTAATTCTACGTTTAGTGGTTTATCCACTCAACAGATATTTTAACTGAGAGTTGTCATTTTGTTGTGTGTCCACTTAGTGGGCCTTACTAATGTTTCAGATAAGTTTTGATGTGCGTTGTCACCCATGCATTGGTTGTGGGCTGATGAGAGCCAGTGGATTTTTGAGCACTGCATCTCTGGAGGCCACCAACTTCAAGATCCCCTGCCAGCTCTATTAATTCTCATGTAAGATATTATCAGTGGCACCCGATGGGGACATGTGGCAGGAGTCTTGCATTAGGTTCCCCTAAAACCAACCCAGTGCCAGCTAGCACCCAGGGTGCGGTAAAGAGTATAGTTTATCCCCATCCCTCCCCCTCCTCCACCTCCACCTCCACCACCAAAGGGGGCCCCAGAACCCAAACCTAGAAAGATACTATATGATACAAACCAGGATATTAAATAATAAAAGAAACAGCTGAATTCAAAATCTATCTTCAACAATCACACACTTTATGGATGAGGGTTGGTGAAATTGTTTCACAACGCAATACTCAATATTTACCAGGGTTTGATTCCCAGAAACAGACAGTTTTCATGATATTCAGACAGCGGTATGAAAACTGCACCATGGAAGAGACTGGGGCTTCACTATTAACATTCTTAAAAATAGCTGCTAACCTTTATTGTGGAGATGGCATCATCCACAATCAGCAGCTTCTCTACAGAAAGTCACTCTCAACATAGCACACCTGAAAGTCTCTCTTTCTCTAGCCAGTTCTATAACCCTATGTGCTTTCATGGCCAATGCATCTTCAGTGTCTTGTACCCACCTTTGTGGAGGTCGGCCTCTACATAGTTTTCTGGGAACTGCACCCTCCATCACCGCCCTCTCCAGACCACCACAACATTTACGAGTAACATGGCAAAACGACCTCCTCTTTCTGGACAGGATGTTGTGTGTGTGGGTGGGTGTTGAGGTGGAGGGTGTATGTGTGTGTGTGTGGGTGGGTGTTGAGGTGGAGGAGAGGTGTGTGTGTGGGTGGGTGTTGAGGTGGAGGGTGTGTGTGTGTGTGGGTGGGTGTTGAGGTGGAGGGGAGGTGTGTGTGTGTGTGTGGGTGGGTGTTGAGGTGGAGGGTGTGTGTGTGTGTGGGTGGGTGTTGAGGTGGAGGAGAGGTGTGTGTGTGGGTGTGTGGGTGGGTGTTGAGGTGGAGGGTGTGTGTGTGTGGGTGGGTGTTGAGGTGGAGGAGAGGTGTGTGTGTGGGTGGGTGTTGAGGTGGAGGGGAGGTGTGTGTGGGTGGGTGTTGAGGGTGGAGGAGAGGTGTGTGTGTGGGTGGGTGTTGAGGTGGAGGGGAGGTGTGTGTGTGGGTGGGTGTTGAGGTGGAGTAGAGGTGTGTGTGTGTGGGTGTGTGGGTGGGTGTTGAGGTGGAGGGTGTGTGTGTGTGGGTGGGTGGGTGTTGAGGTGGAGGGTGTGTGTGTGTGTGTGTGTGGGTGGGTGTTGAGGTGGAGGAGAGGTGTGTGTGTGGGTGGGTGTTGAGGTGGAGGAGAGGTGTGTGTGTGTGTGGGTGTGTGGGTGGGTGTTGAGGTGGAGGGTGTGTGTGTGTGGGTGGGTGTTGAGGTGGAGGAGAGGTGTGTGTGTGGGTGGGTGTTGAGGTGGAGGAGAGGTGTGTGTGTGTGGGTGGGTGTTAAGGTGGAGGGTGTGTGTGTGTGTGTGGGTGGGTGTTTAGGTGGAGGGGAGGTGTGTGTGTGTGTGTGTGAGTGGGTGTTGAGGTGGAGGAGAGGTGTGTGTGTGGGTGGGTGTTGAGGTGGGGGGAGGTGTGTGTGTGTGTGTGTGTGTGGGTGGGTGGGTGGGTGTGTGGGTGGGTGTTGAGGGGGGGGGGGTGTAATGTATGTATGTATGTATTATGTACATCTGTATATGAGTGTGTATGTATGAACATGTAAGAGTATGGGTATGTGTGTGTGTTTGAGTGCGTATGATTGTGTATACATGATATGTGTATACATTATTTCATAATGTATATTTTGTCTAAACATAACATGCATTATTGATAACATGCATTGGTGCTCTGAAAGATGAGTGCTTAGATGGACCGAATGTAAGACCGGCCTGTGTGCCCAATTTGTAACTTTTTGAAAATAAAGTTTGTTCGTTCATTCTATCAGAGCAACATTTGTGAGGGACCACGCAACTTACTGGACAGATGTGATATCAGATGTTCTGCGTGATGCCAGTATATTGACACCAGCTTCCAACACATTCCCTCCAACAGCGCTGGATGCTAGTTGTTCAGTCAACATACAAACCACTAATGGCAATGGGGAAGTTGCTCAGACAACTATAAGCGGTCCAGTTTCAACAGCAGGTGTGGGCAACGAAACTTCTCAGGTGATTTTCTTCTTCTTCTTCTATTTCTACTTCTTAGTGTGCACTGGCTGCAAACTACAGGAAAAAAGTTCTGGTTGTTCATCCACTTCTTGATTTAACACTTGTTCCAGTACTTGAGTCTTGCATGCACATCCATTTTACAGATTTGGCTTTTTTGTGTGCAGACTGTTATTTCTTCACCTCTGAGGCAGATTTATTCTGACTTTATTCTGAATTTGTCAAAATGGACGCTAGGCACAGCCACTTTTTTTTTTTTTTTGGAAGCCATGGCGGTTGTTTTTTTTTTTTAAAGCTGTGGCAAATGTTTTTGTTTTGTTTTTTGCTTCTGCCAGGTGGTGGCCGTTGCATTTTTGCTCCATTTGTAGACTAGAAGGTTATAGTTTCGTTGCCCAGCTTCTGAGTTGAATGCATGGCATGACACTGTGAGCTACGTGTATTTTTGGTTGGCACAGGAGCAGAGCAACTATGGGGTGACCCGTTTGCTATGAAGCTCAAACTAGGGTTACCAGATTCTGACCTTGAAGTCCTATTAGGACATGCTTGTTAGGGGTGCAGTGATTTTATTCTTCTTTTCCTCAAAAATGGGAGCCCCAGAATCCACAAGGGGCAGGTAATGTTCAATTCTGTGTTTGTGTGTTTAGTGCGTACGGAATGAAGCTATGCAGGTCATGCTGGGATGTACAAGAGACACCCGATTGTGTGCATGCGATACATCCCTGCATTGCTGACTATTGCAGATAGGCTAAAGGTGTTGCAGGCTAAGTCATACCTCAGACAAAGAACACTGTCTGTTTAAAGCTTTGGCTGCAGGCAAGGGTCAGAGGCTGAAAAGGGGAAATTTCGTGGATGGCTCAAGCAGAAGACACAATAAGACAAGTATATGTGCTGGAGAACATTGGGCAAGGAGAGGAGTGGGTCAGAGTACCAGATGAAAAGTCTGACCTGTTTAGGGTCATGATCCCATTAGGCTGGGTGTGCAGACTACTTGCCTCTCAGGCAGAGGCACTCTACTTTGAAGGAAAATCCCTAATTAGTCTACTCTTATGATATGTTTGTTGGAGAGGCAGTGGGTCTGTTTCACCCTGCCCCTTACCTACAGTGGGGTGTCGGAACCCTATATTTATTTGTCTATGTTAGGAAAACCTATGGACACCTTGTAGAACTGTCTTTCCAGTCAAAGAAAATTTTCCCAAGTGCCTCTCTTCTTACCAGATGACCAACAATAACTTTCTTACAAACTGGTTACTAGGCCTACTGGTTACATATAGTTGAAACTCCCGTGTGGGTTCCGAGGCCCCATTGTGGGGAAAACAAGAATAGACCCACTGCCCCCCCCACCCCCCGTGTGGGTTCCGGGGCCCCATTGTTGGGAAAACAAGAATAGACCCACTGCCTCCCCAAAAGCATGTTGTAAGAGTCAACTAATTGGGGAGCTTCCTTTGAAGTCGGAGTGCATCTGCTGGAGAGGCAAGGAACCAACAGTCTGTATTCAAGAGAATGAGATCTGTAAAACTGATGCACATGCAACACTCAGGTTCTGGAGCAGGACTGCAGTTCAGTAGTGGACAAGCAACCAGGACCTTCCGCCAGAATGTACAACTGTGAACGCGAAGAAGAAGAAGAAGAAGAAGAAGAAGAAGATATAGTTGAAGATTGTAATTGTATTGTTTTCTTGATTATTTTGCAGGTTAATGGTATCCACAAGGATTCTGCTTGTGGTGTTACTCAAGGTTGCTTTTCCAATTGCAAAAACTCTGTATGCAGTTTTATTGTTTCCTGGCATGAAGAAGGGGACTATGGCTTGTATACTATTAGCGCTGATACAGCTTTCAGTACCACTGCTTATATTGTCCTGGGCTTCTCAACTGATGATCAGATGGTAATTGAATGACTGCTCAAACTGTTTTCTTTGTTATTTTAGCCTATATTCCAGATATTTAGATGGTGACTGAATGATGCACAAAGCTGCTTAACCCTTTAGAGACAGGGCCTTCAGGAGTGGATTCTCATAGTTTTAAACACACAAAAATTATAAAAAAATAAAGCGTTTAATTAACATATACAAAACTATATACCATGATGTAGGAAATTGAAGGAGCTAACAGAAAATGTATGAATCAAACTGAAATCTCAAAATTTATTCAAATTAACTATTCTGATTTGCATAATTTATGCAAGCAATTTTTATATAACTTGGAAACAAACATAACTAACCTGAAAAATGTGGGTGAATTTTTTTTATCGATGAAGCTTGAATAAATCCTAACACCCGTATTTTGGGAAGTAAGGCCCTTGGAGGCCTTTCAGACATAGCTGGCACATAGTTCTAGTCATTTTCTAACCTCAAGCCATGTTTCAGTTGCTATGACGCAACAGTCCTTTTCGCCATTTTTTAGGCACAGGTAACCCCAGAAAAAAAATCGATGTAAAATCACAGAACACATCAAACTTTCTCAAAAGCTGTCAATGAACAGCCCACATGTGCAAGAAATGTGAGAAGCAGTCTGATTGGCTGATGTGAAAACCTGCCAGCTAATCTCAAGGCTTTTATTACACAGGGCTGACCCAGCCGTACTTCTGGCTATTTTGCGTTGGGCCGATATTTCAGCCCCGTCGTCTCCAGAGGGTTAATTTAACATTTTCACCTCAATTCTAAGTAATCATTCCTTGAAGGCCTATGTACTTACACATAATCATCATCAGGCGTCATCTCTCTTTGTCTGCCTCTGCTTCTTTTATTGTTGATCTTTCGAGTCATCACAATGTTCTACAATGCCACTCTTCTCAGTACATGAATGCCTCTTTCTAATAGTTATAGCGTGGCGCCGTGGCTTAGAGGCTAGCGAATGAGGTTAACCATTTCATGACCCTCAAGTACTAGGGTTCGTTCCCCACAGTGGACAGGTAAAAATCAGTTCTCATGATTTTCGGACAATATTACAAGAGTTGCACTGTGGAAGCGATTGAGGCCTCACCACGTAATATTCTCAAAGAGAACAGTGAAACACTGTAGCTAACCTCCATTGTGGTAACCTCCATCATTTAGCATAGTAAATACAGACTAGCTTAGATTACACCTAGGATGGTTGTTATTTATCCATAGGTTTTGTGAATTTTTTTATCAGTACAGTCTGGCCTAGGAGTCACCATGGTGTAGCAGCTAGACACTTGCCTGGAGATTGAAAGATTGTGGGTTCCCATCCTGTGGGAGCCAGCCTTTTGTTTTTTAATAATGACCCTGGCTTCCAGGTTGACCAAGCCTTAAATGGGTTCCAGGTAAAGTCTTGGGAAGTAAAGCTGGCCAGCGTGATGCTGACCGCATCACATACACATGTTGATTGGTGTATAAAATATAGGTCCAGCCCTATCTGCACAGTATGCCTAAAGGCATGGAAAGGGATCCTTTACTTTATAGTCCAGCCACTTTATAGTCCAGCCACTTTATAGTCCAGCCACTTTATAGTCCAGCCACTTTATAGTCCAGCCACTTTATAGTCCAGCCACTTTATAGTCCAGCCACTTTACAGTCCAGCCGCTTTATAGTCCAGCCGCTTTATAGTCCAGCCACTTTATAGTCCAGCCACTTTATAGTCCAGCCGCTCTATAGTCCAGCCACTTTATAGTCCAGCCTAAACACCAGAATTACTAGTTTAGAACAGCAGTTTGTAAATAAAGTTAAATTAATTGCGTCCCCTTTACAGGATGTTGCAGAACCAATCCCAGCATGTTTTGGCTGTTGTGGTTTTTCAAGACAAATGTTACGTTCAGTAGCACTGTGGAAACCAAACTATCCGCAGGTGGGATTGAACTCGGCACCTGGCATTATGAAGCTCGTTTGCAATGCCTAAGCCACAGATGCAGACAGAGATTGTATATATGTTACCAATATTAGAATGTAACAGCAGATAATCCCCATTTTCCTGTAAAAATCTGTTTAAAATTAATTTGTCACAAAGCACATTAAAAAAAAAGAAACATATCATTAGAATTGTTTGAAATTCTACCCTGAGAAACTGGAAAAGAAGTCTTATCCATGTTTATAACAATTCTGAGTCTAAAACCTTTGCCCACCAAGTAAACATGCAAGCCTGGTAACCACTGCAATATTGCCGCCCCCAAGTCACAAATTCTTTTTTAAAAATTTAGTTTAAACAGACATTTTTTCATATTGAAACCTAATGCAAAGTAATCAGTAAATACAAACAAAGTAGTTAGTTCCACTCTCATTAAAAAAAAAATATTTTGTTGGCACAAAAATGTGGAACAAAATGATATCATGGTGATACCATGAAGATGTAACAATTATAACGAAAGAGTGTTTTTTTCTCACCCGCAAAAATCCTTTAAATCATATTTCTTGTAAATGTAATCTACATACTTTGTACAAACAGTACTAAAGCTATTATATAGGTTTCGCAGCTACTACTCCCCCCCCCCCCCCCCCCCCCCCCCCCCCCCCCCCCCCCCCCCACAACAATGCAAAAAAAAAAAAAAAAAAACTTGAGCCTTTGAAGGTAATGCCCCCATAAGTTTTAGGTATTTTGTTGCCAACAGACACCATGAAAACCCCAGAAAAAAAATAATCTCTATTGTTCAAAAGTGATCAAGTCAGACAACATTGTAATTTATGTAATTCTTGCTTGTCTTAGAATGAGTTAATTGTATTACCTTGCTATGTATGTGTAAGCCATGTCTAACCCCTTTGTAACAATTCCTTAGGGATACGACAGTCTCACAGGCTGTGCCTCAAGAAGTAACGGGTCAGTGGTGTTATTTAATGGTCAGAACACAGATAAAGTGTTGCCGGTCTTGTTTACAGATAATGTAAGTTTTATTGTTAAATAATAATCTTCTTCTTTTTCTTCACTTTCACAGGCTGTAATCTCCAGCAGAAAGTTCTCGTTCATTCACTTCTGGTCTTTAGTCTTATTCCAGAACTTGAGTTTTGCATGCACATCTGTTTTACAGATCTGGCTTTTTTGATGCAGACTACATAGAACCATCATCATGGACCTAACCGTGGGCCTAACAAACATTCAGGACCTAAAGCAGATGGCCACGAACTGCCAGTCATGGAAAGCTGTGCCCTATGCACTGCCCTAGATCCAAGAGGAAAGATGAACTAACTAAATTAATTATCTATTTTACTAGATATCCTCACTGCCAGGTCTTGGTCAGATATAACTAACCTATGATATAACAGTAGCCGATACTACTTGTCTTTTGTTAACACTGAATGTTGGGTGACAAACACCAAACCTGACATTCCATGCAGTGCCAACGGATTTGGGTGGAGGAGCACATTGGGTAGGACACTAGCCTTATCCTAGCAAGAGAAAATGCAACCTTTTTTTTAATAGCAAGACCAGGGCAGACCAGGCCCTTAGCCAGGTCTAGAAGGGAAGTCTCAACAGGCAGACAGGCAGAGCACTGCTCTTCTGATCTGGCAGCTTCTGCAGTGTTTTTTGTTCTAAATGTACTGGTGTTATCTTTCCTTTGGAGTAAACAAGGCAGGCTGGGAGGGAGATCCTGATGCATGGTCTCTACAATACTGCCAGACTTTGTCCTATGGAGAGGATAAACTTCTAAAATATGGGTGGATCTTGCTAGTCACACTCACCATTACCATGGGCTGTGAGTCCCACGCCGCCTCACAGCACAGTATACATTAATTGTCTGGAAAGATAGAAAGGTACCACTGCTAGATATAGACACAGCCTATTGCCTATGTTCTGTACATGCAATATCACACATTCAGAATTGTTTTTGTACTTTACCAGTAATGTGATGTTGACCACATGAACCATCAGCTGGTCTATAAAATATAGGTCTAGCCCTATATGCCCAGTTCGTCTGAAGGCATGGGAAAAGTTCAAATACTTTACTGTCTTTACCAGTAGTATGATCTTTTCTCCAGGCCACGCTGGCGTGGTGGATAATAAACAAGCAGACAGATTGGCTGGATCTGCACCACCGGATGGTGAATTGTTACATGGCAAGGCAGATGTGGTCAAGGTTTTCTGGAAACAAGCAACGGAATCAGTAAAGACAGAAAATTATTATGACCTGTAGGAGTGCTGTGATATCACTTCTTGACTCAACTCAACTCTACCAGTAGTATTGCACTATAATTTTGTTATTGTCTTTCAGAATGTCACACTTGAGAATTATACAACTTCAGATGGTGTCTTATCCTGCACATTTAAGCGCCCAACAGCGGCATCCCCCGATGGGAGGCGGGTTGACATCTCTAAACCCTGGGTACTGCTCTTTGCTCTGGGCCTGGCCAGTGTTTGTAAGCAACTTGTTTATTCCTCTTCTGCCTTTCTAACCCCCACTGGAGCATAGGCCTTAATCAACTCACGCCAAGTCATTCTATCTTTGCTATTGCATGCAGCTCTACCTTTGTTCTTCCCATCTTTTTAACTTCAGTCTCTAGCTCCCTTCTCCAAATGTGTTTTGGTCTTCCTTTATTTGTATGGCTCTGTGGGGTCTAGTGCAAAGACAGGTTTTCTCAATGTGTGTTCTAAACAGCGCCAATGTATTTTCTGCATTTGTCGGTCCACTGGAACTTGTTTAGTTCTCTCCCAAAGCTCTACATTAGTGATTCTAGCATACCATTTAATATCCTCTATTCTGCACAGGCATCAGTTAATTAATGTTTATAGTTTATTATTAATTGCCTTAGTTGTTCTCCATGTTTCCGCTCCATATAACAGTACTGAGTTGACATTAAAAGTACAGATTTTAAGTTTAGAGATAGTGTTCATTTTCTTTTGACCTCCACAAGTTTCCTAATACTTTGAAAGCTCCTCTTGCCTTTTGTATTTGTATTTTATTATTTAAAAAAGTGTAGGACTCTATGTCTTGGAGAGGGATGCCATTTAGTTTATCAAGGTTGAAAAGTACAGATAATCTAATGCAGTGTTCTTCAACAGCCCACTGGTGGGCCACAGAAAAGTCCAGGTGGGCAAACAAAAGTTTCTATCTAAAGATGTAATAAGGTAGATTAGGTAGTTTTTCTCTTCCAGGATTGCAGTCTGTAGAATTAACACCTCAAGGATGAGAATCAAACAGTGGCAAGTGACATTTAGCCTGAATTATTTTAGCTGAAAACTTTGATTTTCATGGCAAAGGATAGCGGATCAAGTTGTCTTCTGATGTCAGCTTGTGTCCAGACATAACATGCAGTCATGTTCTGAGTTTGGGATATCCCTCAAAAGAAGAATATCCATCTCTGAGCTATAAAGCTATCAGTTTTGTGTTGTTTTTGGTGGGTCGTCTTTTCAAGTTCCTGTCTGTGTGAAAAGCATTTCTTGACCAAGTCCTAAATAATATCCAAAACAGAGAAATCAAATTAATGTTATTGCAGCATTATTAGATGCACAATTATAACCAAAAAGCTTCCCTCTTGGGAGCAAAGCAAGTCAGTTTAGAACTAAAAGATTGTTGTTTTTCAGAAAAATGCCAGGAATTTCTTGGTTAGCCAAAGTGAGTAATCTAACTATTTTCAAAGAAGCATTGACAAGTTAAGTTTCTGCTTCTTCTCTGTTCAGCCTTAAAATGGTGGCTTGCTGTTGTTTTGTGATTTAAGGTAGGCTGCAATAGCTGCACTTTTCAGCCCAAGACACCCAATTTCAACAAGCCCTTAGTTTGTTGCCTTTTACGAGATGCTTGTTATGGGGACAGTGGGTCTATTCTTGGTCACTGATCCCTCCTACCTCATTACACTGAGTACCACTTCAGCTCACTGTGAACCCACAACCTGTACTGGAGGCCGACTTAAGTTGCATAATTAACGACTTGTGACTAGACTTGGGATTTTGTCCGGAGACTCACAACTCAATTTTTTACTTAGTAACGACTCATTCACGATCGGCACTGTGAGGTATGGTGACCAATATCACATTTTAAAATGTCTTCATATAACACGGCACAGAATAAATTCTTTTTCAATATATCAAGCTTATCACATTTGATTTTTTCTGCTTTCAGTGCGCTTTTCTCTTTGCCATTTTTGGTTTCATGTTTTTGCCATTTTTTATTGTCCCACAAATGACTTGGTACATGAAGTGACTTGAATTGGAACTCGATTTGAAAGCATTCTTGGTGACTTAAAGCTTGACTTGGGACTCGATTTGAAAGCATTCTTGGTGACTTAAAACTTGACTTGGGACTTGGTGACAATGACTTGGGACTCGACTTGGACTTGAAGGGTGATGACTTAGTCTAAACTCTACTAAAAACCAACTCAGTGCATTAGTACCATTCCAGTGCACAAAGCACAAACTCAGTGCACTAAGGACTATTCCAGTGCACTAAGCAGCAGCACTTAGTGCACTTAGTACTCCTCCGCTGTGCTATCATCACTCCATGCACTAACCCCAAATTCAGTGCACTTTCTCAGTGTCAGTTTATCACTCTTAATATTAATGTTTATATATATATATATATATATATATATATATATATATATATATATATATATATATATATATATATATATATATATATATATATATATATATATATATATAAAACAAATAACAACAAATAACAGTGTTAGTTTATCGCTGTATTCATATTTATGTACCTATACCTAACAATTAACAACAAAAAAACAATGCTAGTTTATCACTGTCTTCATACTTCTCTTCCTAACAGCAAAAAAAAAATTAACTTTATCACTATCTTTATATTTATGCTTCTGACAGCATCAATCAATGCCAGTTATGTCATCTTTATATTTTCTCTTTGACAGTACCAAACAATGACGTCAGCTTACAGTACCATGGCCGCACTAACCGGTTTGCTTCTCCTGCTGCGTACAAAGTGAATGATGTTGTAGATTCTCAGGCTGCAAATATCAAGTCTCGCCTTATCATTGCTCATGGTTAGTAGGTCTATATGTTTCATAATGTCAAACTTTAGAATTACACAAGTACAGATGGTGTCTTATCTTGAACATTTAGGCACCTAACAGTGGCATCCCTCAATGGAAGGCTTTCTTTTAATTATATGTCAGTAATTGCTTAGTATCATTATGAATGGAGTCTTATTGCACCACACTGCATTATCATCCACAAAGGGTAAAATATATGGGTTCAATAGCTTATCAAAATATAGTTTTAAAATCAAAGGCAACGTTTTGCACAAACACCATGTTAACTTAGTAAAAGCATATAAAAGGGTATTTATTTTTATATTTTCATAGTCAGATCTTGGTTAAATATGACTTTTCATTGTCAGATCTTGGTCAAATATTACTAAGCTACCATTTAACAGTAGTTGGTACTACCTGTTTTCTTTTAATGCTCTCTGTTGGGCAGCTATACCAAACCTATCATCCCTCACGTGACAAGAGCTTCAGGTGGAGGTTCACATTAGTGAAGATGTTTGCTTGTCCTAGGATGAGGAAATACAACTTGAGAACGTAACCATATGGCAGGGCAGACCAGGCCTTCAGCCAAGGTTGACTGCTGGTTTAGGAGGGAAGCTTAGACAGACAGACACTACGTCTGCTCAGATCTGACAGCTTCTGCAGTATGCTTTGTTCCAAATGTTTTGGTGTTACTTTTCCTCTGGAATTAAAAATCAAGCTAACTGAGGGATCATCCTGTGTGGCAACAATTTCTCTACAATAATGCCAAGATTATGGAGAGGAGGACCTTCATCCCTTGGTTTCATTGAACAAACTTTATTTTTTGCTTATCATTTAATAAAATAATGTCTGGACAACTACCTCTATCGACTGCAAAAACACAAAGAAGGTGCAGATTTATTAAGCACACTCTCAGAGGAAATAAGCAAAGAATTACAGAGCAGGCACTAAAATGGGAACCAAAAGGTCTGAGAAAGGTCCAGGGGAACACAAAGAAGAACATTATGACAAGAAGCTAAAAACGCTGGGCTGAATTCCTTGTCAGAAACTGATAGAGTTGCATACAGTAGAGTGGAGTGGAGGAATTGAATGTGAGCCCTATGTGACATCTAATGGCACACAAAGGATGATGATGATTTGATAAAATGTTGTAATTATTGTTTCATGTTTTTGATGTAATTAAATTATTTAAATTTAAAATTGCTCAATGATGCAATCATTTGTTAAAATGTGTTGTTGTTGCCAGGTAGTCTAATGGTTGGTGCCTGGATATTCCTTGCTAGTATTGGAATAGTGGTAGCCAGGTACTACAAACCTGTATGGAAAAATTTGATTTTGTCACAGAAGGTTTGGTTTCAGGTAACTATTAAGCTATTTCCTTATTATGTTTCATGTTTAACTCTTTCACCCTGTAAAATAACTTTTTCAAAAAATTTTTAAAAATTTTTAAAAATCAAACTCATTGTTATAATTTTATGAAACTTAACTCTTACAAACTAGAGGAAGAGTCTTAGCCAGTTTTTATAAAAAATCCAGGAAGGTTGAAACCAGCAAGCAGATGGACAAGTGTGCCAGCTATTGCATCATTCCAACAGTTGATTCATGACAATTAACGCCCAGGTGATCTGATTATCTATATAGATGGTTTGGTGTTGAGAGGAAAGAGAAGTGCCTGGGGGTTCGTAGCAAAAGCCAATGGAAAATCTTCAGTGCAAGGCAGCCTAGCATATGATATCACATCTAGCATGAGAATGGAAGTAAAGGCAGTAACTGCAGCTCTCCGGTGGCTAGAGAACAATATGCTTACACAAGTCATAACTGCGACAGACTCTGAAAGCATGCTGAGAAAGGTGAAGACAGGGATGCTTCATGCAGAGTGGCAAGCTTCACTGGGAAGGTCACGGGTAGTGAGCATCCTTTGGATCTTTTCTCCAAGCCATGCCGACATCGTGGGTAATGAACAGGCGGATAGACTGGCTGGATCTGCACTACTGGGTGGTGAATTGATACATGACAAGGCAGATGTTGTCAAGGCCCTTTAGGAACAAACAACGGAATCAGTAGAGAAAACAAGATTGTTATGGCCTGGAGAGAATGAGTCACCTGGGTGTAACCAGAGGGTCTGGCCGGCTCACTGCACTCAGAGGAAAGGCAAGACGAACATATAACCAGAAATCAACTGTTTTAGTGATTCAGAGGGTAGCAATGATGCAAGTTGAGTTGAGTTGAGTCAAGAATTGTTATCACAGCACTCGGGGCATTCCCATGCATGCTCATCCTCATCTTCAGCTGCCAGCGCAGAGTTCCAATACAAATGATACCTATCATAATCCAGTTATACGTCCGTCTTGCCTTTCCCCTGAGTGTAGTGAGCTGTCAACTGGAGACTGGTTTAGATGCCTCCTTGTGGATATCCGTGAGATATTCTAACTTGTTAGAATTGTTTATAAATAATTTTTTTTTGGCACTGTTTTGGTGTCCAACACTAATTTATTTGAATCATCTCATGCATTTTTCCAGAGTTTTCAGCTGATGAATGCTAAGAAAGAGGCATGTGGTAAAGGTTACAAAAAATCTTTACACAATTGAAGGAAAATGGAAGGGAAAAGCAAAGAATATCCTAGACTGAAAACAATAACCTGGGAACAAGTTGCAATATTATTAAATTGTACAATTTGCTGAGGACAGAGAGCTTTGGAGGACTCTGGATTGTTGTTATTTCCAGTGTACACCCCTGTAACCCGTTATGTGGTCACAGAGTTTGGAAAATTGAAACTGGCATCCTATACATAGAGTGGATGCACCACTTCATAAGATTCAGATCAGCAGCATGTCATGGATTTTTTGTCCCGGACATTCAGATGTGCAAGGTAATGAGCAGGCTAATAGACTGGCTGCTGCTGCTCCTCTGGGTTGTGAGCTACTTTATGATAAAGTGAACATGGTGAAGGCTCACTTGGATCAAACGGATGGTGCAACATAGGTTTTTAACAATGGATCAACATCATGGCACACTGATGTGCCGAAGAAGCTTTGAGTCTGAAGAAGCTCAGCACAGTGCACAGGCTCTGTAGCACTGGTGAGGATCCTGAAATACTTTAGGTAGACTTTTAACTCCAAATTTTGCCCGGGCAGCGCTGTTAGGCTACTCTTTTCGATTTCCAGCTGTTAAGGAATTTTTTTACGGGTGCAGCAATACACACGAGTGTCAGATCTCACTACCAGGGGGAATTACTAGAAGTCAAAGTCCACATTAAAAAATCCCAGCAAATACCGGGGATTGAACCCAGAACCTCTAGCACTCGAGGCGGACAACATGCCTCAAGACCACACAGCCCCCTATAGTAGTGCAATAGAACAGACAGATAACCCGTACTCTGTAAGGCTAATTCAGAAAGGGTTGGTAGAGGCTCGGGAAGACATTCAACACTGAGGGGGAAATATAGGTAGACTTTTTAATCAATTACAACTGGTACTATTAGCATGTCGACTCTTCACTGGCTACTGAGCAAGAAGACGGAGCACATGTAGGAATGTTCCAAGTGCAGTGATGTCATTTGTTGATTTATTCATTCATTAAGGATGAAACAAATGATGATGATCTTTGCCACCCCCTTTTATTGTTCTCATCTCATCCTTCTTGTAAATAACGTTATCATTAACTTTACAAATGAATTTCTTCCCATTTCGAAGATTCACCGAATATGCATGATTCTGGTGACTGTTTGCACCGTGGCCGGTTTTATCATCATATTTGTTAGTGTTAAAGGTTGGAGTGAGGTAAGTGAAGATAGTAGAGTTCTGTTTCATACCATGTTGTGAGCACTTAATGAAAGAAAGCTAATCTGATAAAGGTATTGCCTTGTCAGTGTAAAACTAGCATTACAGGGAAGCAATAAAGTTAGGCTAACTACTAATGTTACTTATTGGAAATTTTTAAATATATGTTGAGATGGATATGGGGAGCCACCACGGTGAAGTGGCTAGATGCTCGTCTGCAGATCGGAAAGTTGTAGGTTCAGGTCCTGACAACACCAGACTTTAAAAAAATATGAACTGGCTCCCAGATCAGATCGGATTCGCAGAAAACAAAAATTGCAAGCTTGATCCTCTTTTAGCCTCCCGAAGGCCTGCTATATTAAGGAAGGTTTCTTTGCTTTCTGAGCTTGAATTCTGATTCTTTGTGGTGATCAACTTTGCCTGAGTTTGTTTATTTCCTGCAACATGTCAGACGTGGTCAGGCTGGGCGGATATCAGTGGCTTTTGATTTGAATGTTTTCTGTGTTTTGGGAGTGGATTGACAGCCCTAAAAAGGACTGTCAATTTTGCCTGGGCAGCCTAGAACGGGTATGGGGGGGATCTTCTGTGGGTCTGGAGCTAGCTGTTTTTCATTATTGTTGTTTTGCTGATTCATACTGGTGCTTGGCTTACTATGTATCGGTCGCTGCGCTGGTTCTTAAGTGCTAGGTCCTGGGTTTCTGCTCTGAAAGACCCCTGGTTTTGAGCCTACAAACACTTCGCAGCTACATCAATACATAATGTTCCTTTTCAAGACAACCAGGCCGTCACAATCTGTTGTTGTGAGCAGGCGTTTTTTTTTTTTTTTTTTTTTAACACATGGTATAGAAGTAGTGGGGAGAACATAGATTGCAAAAAGAATCAATTGCTCGAATTTGCCAAGAGGTTTTATAGTGAGGTCAGAAGAGTGAGAGAGAAAGATATCTTGTTGGGATGAGAGAAATATCCCCAGTGCTTGTACTTCTGGTTGAATGAGGTTCCATGCTATGCCTGTCCCTCATGTATCTTGGCCTTGAGTTTAGCCCGTGGTGAGGTCCTTGGCAGATCGTTCCCTGATCTGAAATTAGACTGAATGGCTTGCTTCCAGGTACAGTCCAAGTAAGGGTGGCTGGCGTGGTGTCGACCACATCACCAACTGAGCACCAATTGATCTATAAACTATAGGTAAGGCCCTATATGCCTGATACATCAGAAGGCATAGAAAAGGTCTTTTTATAGATGGATATGTCAGTGCTCTGGAATGAACAAAATTGACTGAAAGTAAAATGTATTTTTTTTTAAATCTGTGTATTCAATGTTTGGGGCCACACCACTTAAAATGTCTAAAGACAACAGTGGCGCACTGTAGCCAACCTTCACTTTGGATCAACACATAAATTTATTCATTTTCCATGATCTTACTCCATTTTGTTCTGTAATGTGCAATATCATGTGTAAATGTAAATGAAAAGGGGAAGTTTTGTTTTGTTGTGTTAAAATTCTGAGAATAACTTTTTCATGTTTGCAGTTTCACACATAAGGGATATTTAACAAAGAAATCTAATGTGTCCCAGTTTTATCTTCATCTGCAAAACTAGCCATTTGTCAAGCATTCACTATGAGCTCATTATACTTTTATTTATAACTAATGAAAGTACTTTGAGCCTAATTCTCTCAGGTTATTCCTAATGCCACCATTCCATCTTGTATATGGTCTTCCCTTGCTTTATCTTCTTTATATTTCTTGAAGAGGCTCTTTGTGATAGCTGGTACTGGGGCATTCTCATCAGGTGCCAAGCCCATTTTTCTGAATGCCTTTTAACTCTTTCAGTCCCAGGAGGTTTAGCATCAGAGGCCTAAGGGGTAGTAAAGAGAGATGTTAAATCGGTGCATCTTGTGTTTATTGGACATCTAGGTAGCAATTTATTAATCTATACTGCGTTCCTTGGGACTGGAAGAGTTAAGCAACTGTATGACTGGTTTCTGTCTTAGATATTATGATCAATATTAAGTCCAAATAGTCCTCTCGGGATAACTAATTAATTTGCTAAGTGGTCTCTTATGATAACTATTTAATCCAAAATATCCTCTTGAGGGTAAATAACTTTTTGCTATGAATCCTCTTCTGATTAAAATTAAAGGTTAAGATTCCTTTTGTGATAACTTTTAAATACTGAACTTCCTCTTGTGATACCTGTTAATTGCTAAGAATCATCTTGTAAAACCTATTATTTGCTCAGAATCCTCTTGTGGTAACTGTTGATTGCTAAGAATCTTTCTTTGTAAAAACTATTAATTTGCTTAGAATCTATTGTGATAACTATTAAATGCTTGTGATAACTGTTGTGATAAAATTTAAAATATCAGAAATTCTCTTCACATCTTGTGATAAGTATTAAAACCTATGCATTCACTGTGTATCTAAAAGCAATATTCTGTATACATTTTTCTTTTCAGCTTAGTGGATCTGAGGAGTATCTTAAAGCTCATCCAATTATGGGGATTGTAGTGACAGCATTAACACTCATTAATGTAAGTGATTATGATTGGTATACATGTTGAGATAAACTAATTTTTATCTTTGGAAACTCATACAGTAGTTTAGTTCTTCAAAACGGTTTTCCCATAGTGAATTTAAAAAATGCAACCAAAAAACGGATTGCACAATTTATTGCCTGAGTTGCATTAGTGAGATGTTCAGTGTAACAACAGAAATGTGATTTCTGTATTTTGTTTGAAAGAATTTGTTTTGTTTTTTTGCCTTGTTATGTGTTGATCTTACTGTAGTATACACATGACTGGCTAAAACACAATATGCGAGGCAATAAATTGTGCAAAGAAATTGTTTGTGAATTTCATTAGCATGAAGTTTACATTCAGTTCTGTAAATTCAAAATTTTAAACTCTCAGATTACAAAGACAGAAAAAAGTTGAAACTTTTACTCAAAAGGGCTGTCTATGTGTAAATAAGAATTTGGAAAATATTCTAAAATCAGTTAAGGCATGACATAGGAATGTTACAGTGACGACCCACTGAATTTTTTTTCAGGGGAGGGGGTAATGTGTATGTACTGTAATAATATGTACATTTGTTTTGTAGCTCCTTGTAGGTCATTGCTGGTACTGTGAAGTTATGTACTTTGTGCTACACTCTCAACAGGAAACTAGTCACTCTTGAGGGATTGTCTAAATCATATATGATAATCAATTTTCATCATGTAGCAGGTCCTTTGCAGAACATGACTCTCATCAGGGTCTGCCTGAAAGAAACTCGGTCTCTCGCCAGCTCTTCTGCCTCGTATACTTTCACACTCAAGGAGTCACTTATATCCTGTGCCCATCTTCATGTTGGTCGGCCCCTGCCCCTCCATCCTGGTACCATGCCTTCTGCTATAATTTTTTTCCAATCCGTCGTGGCGCTTGGTATGACCAAAATATTTCAGCTTCCGAGACAAGATGCTGTTTATTAGCGAATCTTCCTTGATGTTCAGATTTTTCAAGATGTCAGCATTTCTCCTCTTCTTTGTCCAAGATATATGATAATACATGATGAAATTAAGCCAGTCCTCTTGCATTTAAACACTTTTATCATAAAACAAATGTTGACAAAAGAAACCAAAGGTGCTGGACTGGATTCCATCCATGATGTCAAAGGGATTGCACCGGATAGAAGAGGATGAAGGAATAGACTGTGAGCCTTATGTGACATATCTGGCATAGCAGGACAATGATGATAATGATGATGATATAATACTGAGTATAACACTATCTGTCTACAGCCTGTAATGGCGATATTTCGCCCCCACCCTGAAACACCAAAACGTCCTATTTTTAATTGGGCTCACTGGTTTGTTGGTATGGCAGCTCACATCTTGGCAGGTGAGTGTGATACTTGAGTTAATGTAGGTATCTTAGTGGTATACTTGAATGAGATGAGCTATCTTTGTGTGATACTTGAGTGAATGTAGATTCATTAGTTTGATATCTAAATGAGAGAAGCTATCTGGGTGATACTCAAGAGAATGTAGGTTTCTTAGTATGATACTTAAATAAGAGGAGCAATATGTGTATGATGAGTGAGTGAAAGTAGATATCTTAGTGTGATACTTAAATGAGAGGAACAATATGTGTATGATGAGTGAGTGGATGTAGGTTTCTTAATGTGATAAATGAGAGGAGCTATCTTTGTGTGATACTAGAGTAGATATCTTAGTGTGATACTTAAGTGTGAGAAGCTATCTTGGTGTGATACTTGAGTGAATAAAGATTTTTTTGTGTGATAACTTAAATGAGAGGAACTATTTTGTGTGATATGAGAGGAACTATCTTTTTGTGATGAGTGAGTGAATGTAGATTTATTAGTGTGATAACTAAATGAGAGGAGCTATCTTTGTGTGATACTTTAGTGAATGTAAATTTCTGAGTGTGATACTTAAATGAAAGGAGCTATATGAGTGATACTTAAGAGAATGTAGATATCTTAGTGTGATACTTAAAAAAAAAGGAGCCATCTTTGTGCGATGAGTGAGTGAATGTTTTTTTCTTAGTGTGATACCTAAATGAGAGGAGCTAACTTTTTGTGATAATTGAGTTAAAGTATATATCTTAGTACAATTATTGCATTCATAGTAATAAACCTGTTGTATTTATATCTCCAAACTAGTGATTACCATCTTCTTTGGAGTTCAGTTAGACAGCACTGGAGTACCGTATTATGTAACTTACATCTTAGCTGCATACGTTGCTTGGCAAATATTTGTGATGCTACTGTTGGAAATCATAACATGTTATGGACATCGGAGTGGTAATTATTTTAAATGTTGTTCACAGTGATATTTTTTGGGTTAATATTAGGTTAAAATGAGCGGTAATTACCTAAAAATTTTGGAAAGGCAGGTTGTATCTGTGGGCTTTGGGAACAACTCAAGACTTGGAGTAAAGGCACAGAGTGTCTGTGGGCTTTGGGCACAACTTGAGACTTGGAGGAAAGGCAGGAAGTGTCTGTAGGCTCTGGGCACAACTTGAGACTTGGAGGAAAGGCAGGGAGTGTCTGTGGGCTTTGGGCACAACTCGAGACTTGGAAGAAAGGCAGGGAGTGTCTGTGGGCTTTGGGCATAACTCAAGACTTGGAGGAATGGCAGGGAGTGTCTGTGGGTTCTGGACACAACTCAGGACTTGGAGGAAAGGCAGGGAGTATCTGTGGGCTTTGGGCACAACTCAAGACTTGGAAGAAAGGCAGGGAGTGTCTGTGGGCTTTGGGCATAACTCGAGACTTGGAGGAAAGGCAGGGAGTGTCTGTGGGCTCTGAGCACAACTTGAGACTTGGAGGAAAGGCAGGGAGTGTCTGTGGGCTCTGGGCACAACTCAGGACTTGGAGGAAAGGCAGGGAGTGTCTGTAGGCTCTGGGCACAACTCAGGACTTGGAGGAAAGGCTGGGAGTATCTGTGGGCTTTGGGCATAACTCGAGACTTGGAGGAAAGGCAGGGAGTGTCTGTAGGCTCTGGGCACAACTCAGGACTTGGAGGAAAGGCAGGGAGTGTCTGTGGGCTTTGGGCATAACTCGAGACTTGGAGGAAAGGCAGGGAGTGTCTGTGGGCTCTGGGCACAACTCAGGACTTGGAGGAAAGGCAGGGAGTGTCTGTAGGCTCTGAGCACAACTCGGGATTTGGAGGAAAGGCAGGGAGTGTTTGTGGGCTCTGGACACAACTCAGGACTTGGAGGAAAGTCAAGATGAGCAGTTAACTAAATAACAGTGGGTACCATCAGTATGGAAACTCTTTGCTGGCTGTTGAGAAGGGAGACAGCTTGTGCTGAATGCTATGATGTCAGTCTTGACCCTGATAAACCCAGATGATGAGACATGCTAATCTTATGTCAGAATAAGGTCTTGTTCAAGTATCCCAGCCCATCTACACACTACCTGACTTTTTATTCATACTTTCTAAGACCTTCCTATGTTGGAGGGGTGTCGCGTGTTTTATATTACATGACGACACAGCTTTTAACAACCCCAGAACATGTAGAACTGGCCCTTACCCAAATCCCCCTACCCACAGCCTCAAGATCACACAAGAGACTCTTTGAAGAAAGCAGTACAACGTGACATCCATCTGATCTAGGTCAGACTGAGAAAGTATGCAGATGGCCCGGAAAAATTGAATAGGTCCCAGAATAATATTATAGGGATTTGACACCCTAGAAGTAAAAGTAGTAATTCTCATGTTAGAAAGGATGAAAACCTACCATCTTAATTTGCTTACACCACTTTCTTTGCCTAGTTTAGGTTTGCTTGAAATGGGAACCCTGGTGAGCTTAAAAAAATTGCCTCAAATGAAATAAAATTCATGACCCCCACAGGGTAGTTTATTAAGATTGTCATGAAATGTGATATGACGAATGGCTTAAACTTGTAAGACTGATATCTGTTTTTGCTGACAAAATTTACAGATAGAAAGGACATGTACGAACTTCGTGCAATGGATGGGAACAACTCTGAGAAGAATTATTCATTAACAGAGAGCTCTTTGGTAAGTTTAGCTATTTTAGAAGGGTTAAAAGTTTAAAGGTGACAGGATTGACTTCATTGCACTGGGTTTTCTTCTTTTTCTTTCGTTCGCTTCAAATAAATTATCTTTATCTGCAATGTTGTCTCTAGAATGAACTTCACTGTCTTTTGTAATTCACTAAGCGGCCAGTAAAGTTTGACTTCCACAAGTGCCTCTTTTGGCCAGAAGTTTTGCCTGGAAGCGTTGAATCTAGGACAATCTTGGAGGATGTGATCTGTTGTCTCAGGTACCAGTCCACAGGTACACATGGCTGATTCACCAATCTTAAATGTTGTGTACATGTGGCAGCGAAGTCAATTGTGCCCTGTTCTAAGGTGAAGGATAATGACTTGCTCTGGTCTGTCCATACTATGGTAATCGTCTTGTGCCAGTTTCAGTGGCTTTCTGATTGATTTGATTACTCTCTTCTTCTGTTGATAAGAGCACTGGGTTTTAATCTCATGGCTTGGTCTTTATTGCATCATGGCTAGGCACCAGCTAAAAGCTTCCCACAAAGCATGAACTCCGTAGCTTCAGTGACCATCCCCAAGGTCCTGTGTAAAAACTGAACTCATGAACCAAACTGCATTCATAACCTTTAACATTTAACCTATTTGTAGGTGCTGAAAATAACTCTGGCATTGTGTACATTTATATACATGAATGTGAATGTTTATATATTTTCACTTATGTAGAAAGTAAAGGACCCTTTCCCACACCTTTCAGGGGTATTGGGTATATAGGGCTTGACCTATATTTTATAGACCAACGGCACAAGATGGTTGATGTGATCAGCATCATGCCGGTTGCCTTTACTTCCCAGGACTGCACCTGGTACCCACTTAAGGCTAAGTCAACCTGTTAGCCAAGTTTTCACTTATGTATCTGACTGAATGTTTCTGGGATTGTCCTTCCTTTACTCCTTAATTCTTCACACACAAGTTACCAATGCATGGTAAAATATGCTGAGACAATCACAATGTGCATAGGCAGTCACATTTTATACTAATGGGAAGTCATGCTAGGCACTTTAAGACATTCAAGGTAAAATGAATAGTGATGCATTTGTCTATGTGAATTATGCATTACATTAAAAGACTGAGTTCTTGTCTCCTTCTTCTTCTTCTTCTCTACTTCCTCTTTTACCACTTCAGGTGACAAGGAAGCTATTAGATTCTGCTTCGTGCTCTTCTGGCTGCGTTGGCCATAAACACATCATGTTGTTGTAGAGTTTTTCTGTTATCTTTCCTTCTTGTTCCTGGTCTACCTTGTGCTCTACGTCCTCCTCTTATGGTGTATGCCTTGTATGGTATAGCGTCACAAGGCATGCCCTCTAAGTGGGGGCTAACTATTTGATTTGATGTCTCTAATTCTTGTGTGCATTATTATATGTTGGTGTAATTTCTGTAGTATTCACCTGGGAAGAAAGCATGTACCACATGTACCAGGTGATTCTTCCTTTTGTAATCGCGTCACTGATGTTTACAACAGTTGACAAGTTGCCCATAAACTCAAGAGTTACAAAGTAGAAGGTCTACTCTACTTATAACTGAGTTCTGTTCAGACTAACAAGTCACAAATTGAACTGGTCAAATTTAAATTTCTCAACACCATTTTCATTCCCATGGGTTGTAAAAATTGTACATAAACCTTAACAATTAAATCTGTGTACATATAATTAGAACCTGCTGAGATCTAGGCATCCGTTCCAGGAACTGTTTGACCCGACCTATGTATTTTTATTTACCTTTATTTGGTGGTAATAAGTGTGGATGGCCAGAAGTCACATAGGTCATAAGTCACATAGATTGTAAGTCACAAAGATTGTAAGTCACATAGGTCATAAGTCGCATAGATTGTAAGTCACAAAGATCATAAGTCACATAGGTCATAAGTCACATAGATTGTAAGTCACATAGGTCCTACATCACATAGGTCATAAGTTGCATAGATTGTAAGTCACAAAGATCATAAGTCGCAAAGATCATAAGTCACATAGGTCATAAGTCACATAGATTGTAAGTCACATAGGTCCTACATCACATAGGTCCTACATCACATAGATTGTAAGTCACAAAAATCATAAGTCACAAAGATCGTAAGTCACATAGGTCGTAAGTCACATAGATTGTAAGTCACAAGGGTCCTAAGTCACATAGGTCATAATTCACACATAAATTGTAAGTCACATAGATAATAGGTTGTAAGTCACATTGGTCATAAGTCACTCAGAATCTAAGTCGCATAGGTCCTAAGTCACATAGGTCATAAGTCACACATAGATCCTGTCACATAGATCTTAGGTTTTAAGTCACTCAGGTCGTAAGTCAAATAGGTCCTAAGTCAAATAGGTCCTAAGTCACATAGGTCCTAAGTCACATAGGTCCTAAGTCACACATAGATCCTAAGTCACATAGATCATAGGTTGTAAGTCACATTTGTCATAAATCACATAGGTCATAAGTCATATAAGTCGTAAGTCACTTAGGATGGTTTATCCTCTCTGAGCTGCTACCTAACAAGTTTGGCACCCTGAGATCACAAGATCTTAATCTGGATGCCAGACCAACATGATCTAAAAGTTTGACATCGTGAGACTAAAGCGTGTCAGTGCTTATGGCAGACCAACATGGTCTGAAGGTTTGACATTGTGAGACTACAGAATCTCAGTGCTGATAGCAGACCAACATGATCTGAAGGTTTGACACCGTGAGACTAAAGAATCTCAGTGCTAATGGCAGACCAACATGATCTGAAGGTTTGACACCGTGACATTTAAGAATCTCAGTGCTAATGGCAGACCAACATGATCTGAAGGTTTGACACCGTGAGACTAAAGAATCTCAGTGCTAATGGCAGACCAACATGATCTGAAGGTTTGACACCGTGACACTTAAGAATCTCAGTGCTGATAGCAGACCAACATGATCTGAAGGTTTGACACCGTGAGACTAAAGAATCTCAGTGCTGATAGCAGACCAACATGATCTGAAGGTTTGACACCGTGACATTTAAGAATCTCAGTGCTGATAGCAGACCAACATGATCTGAAGGTTTGACACCGTGAGACTAAAGAATCTCAGTGCTAATGGCAGACCAACATGATCTGAAGGTTTGACACCGTGACACTTAAGAATCTCAGTGCTGATGGCAGACCAACATGATCTGAAGGTTTGACACCATGAGACTAAAGAATCTCAGTGCTGATGGCAGACCAACATGATCTGAAGGTCTGACACTATGAGACTCAAGAATCTCA